AGAATTTTCACGCTGCCATGAAACTCTTTCATGCAACCCTGATGGATGAATCGAGTTACGATAGACACCCCTTGCCGATGAAAAATCTCGCGAGGGCGAGTCGAAGGATGCTTAGAAAAAAAAAACGAAAAACACGTCTGGTGATCGAAGAATTCGAGAAATGAAGGAATTCTCGAAAGAGGGAAAAAAAGAGGAGAAAAAAAAAACGAAACAGGCGATCAGGTACAAAGGTAAATAAAAACGGGAATGATTAATCGATCGGTGGATCGCTCGGACCCCTGGAGTTTCCCCGATTCCGTCGGAACCCTCTTTCGTACCCCATGCAGGCCGGAGTCCTTTTTTGCGGCCAGCACGGAAGTGCAGACGCAAATTACCAAAACAAAAATTTGAAAATATATTCGGTGCGTCTCTTCCGGAAATTGGTACTCGCAACCCTTGAGCGCGAGGCTGCAGGGGTTGTTTGTCAAACCAGGAAATTAGTTCGTTTCCCACAACTTGTCACGCTCTCGATTCCCAATTTCAGAGAGGGTGGAAGATGAGGATGCGAAAAAAAAAGGACCGGTAAACTTGAAAAACATACGGTCCCGTGAAAAACACGTTTCGGGGTTGAAAAGGTTTCGATCGCAAGTATAAATATAACAATGGTAAGGATGTCTGCAGAGTGAAGATTCGAAGTGTTTCGAGAAGACGAATCGTGAGTATTCCGAAATCTAAAATTATAAAGGTGACCGATAAAGTGGCAGCAAAGAGGGCCATGTGCGCGTTTCTTTCTTAAGAATCGGCGCAGAAGCAAAGAGGAGAAAAGGGAGATGCTCGATGCCTGCTGTTTCTCAACTCGCTATCTCATCGACTTTTGGTTTCTGAACGCCTCCAAAAATGACGAAGACGACGAGGATGTTTCTGGGTGGTTGATAATGCGGCTGGCACGAGCGTAACCAAAATAACGAGGACGGTTGCAATAAATTTTAGAAAAATATGCTCAAATTGCGCGACGGGGGTAAGAAAGAAGGAGGGGAAGAAGAAATCGCTTGTCGCGATTACAGCCTGTTTTATTCGATCAAAGAGTCGACTAATAAAAGGGCTTCGTGCTCGCCGCAGATTTAATTGAAGGCTCTTGCGCGCTTCTACGCCAGTGAACGAGACTTCGAGTGGCTCCAAAAGAGAAACTTACGGCCGGATCAGAGGATTTTTCGAATCGGAAGAGCCACTAGACCGCACCAAGTGAGAAGTTGGCGCGGGGGTGTTCGAGAGAACGAGGGGCGACGCCTCGACATGGAATTTAAAGGGAGAGACAGGGTGCAACGAACTCTCGAACCTGGCTGACTCGAGTGACTTTCGTCTACGTCTACGAAATCATTTCGGGGGAAATCAATTTTAGGTCCTGCTGCTGAATTTCAAGCTATTTCATGTCTAAATTTGCTAATAGGTCTTCCTATATATTCTACACAACTGAGTCAACACAGAGGTTGCCTTACACGAGTTTTATGAAAAATTTCAGAATGAAAACGCTGAGTTGGAGACGTAGGCTACTATCAGGAAGGTAGATGATTCTAAAAATCATTGACGAGGAATGGAATCTTCGAGATTCTTATTTCTCCCTCTCTGTCTTTCTGTGTCTGGCCCTTTTTCACCAGACACGTGTATCTATTCAATGCTTTCCATTATCTCGGCCTATTTTTACAGTGACTCTTTCCTTTCAGAGCTGGATCCTTTCGTTTCGTACACGGTTAGATCCATAGACGACACTAAGCCGATCCACGATCCCCGAAACAGGATTTTTTTTTCTCCTCTTCTTTCTTCTTTTCTCGAGGCCTCGTAAGATCTCGAGAATTTCACGCGAGTCACGTTTCGAACGGGGGATCACGCCTCGAGCCTCTGACTCGAGATTTTTCAGACTGTACGACTCTACGACCAACAACCGTACCCCTCTTGCCCACTCGAAACTGTCCGAATTCAATTACCCAAACAACGGTGTGCGAACGATTCGATGACGAGAAACGTAACCGTGTACACGTTATTTCCTCTAAATATTTGCCTGTTGATAAGGACGGGACCGAGAGGTTTGCGTCGAGTCCACGCGAGTTTCCCAGGCGAGGACTTGATCTTTCTTTTTCGAGTGCTTTACTGCTCGGTACTTGTAACGTATCGATTGAAAAGTCAGCGTAAAACGTATCCAGTACCGATTTAACCGGTATCCGCACTGATCTCCCTTCTCCTGGCCGTCTCAAAAACGACAAGAGAAACAAACTCGAAAATCCCATAAAGCGTTACAATGGAGTGCAACGAGGGAAATGGTTGGTCGTCGATCCGATGGGTAGATAAGGACCGTTCGCGGATAATATCGGAACCCGTGTACGCAACAGTGTTGACGGCTTGCACCTACACGCCGGTGTATACATCCAGCACAAAGACACACGCGCGATCATTCGTCGAGGCCTCGAGCTGCGGACGTATACAGCTGTTGCGTGGCAGCTGACGGGAAAAAAGGGGTTAAGAACCCGGGGATAGTGGTGCCTGGAAGAAAGGAGAAAACGCGCAAGAAGGAGATGGGGTCGAAGAAGAAGGACCTTTATCGAAGGACGAGAAAAGGGTGGAGAGAGAGAGAGAAAAATCATGCGGGGCTATTGAATCCTTGAAACGAGGGAAAAAAAGGTCTGCCGACTGAGCGAGCTTCGCGATTTCTGGATTTCCGCGTCTTTAGTAACCCGAGAAGCGAAAACAGTAGGGCAGGTAGCTTCGAGCAGAAAGGGTAAACGTTGGAGGGAGAGATCGAGGAGGAGGAGGAAATCGAATATCCCTCCGGTGAACCCTTTGAATCTGTCGCCGTTTCAATGAAGACCAGTTGGGGAAGACGTAGCCAAAGAAAAGAGACGAAAAAAGAAAAAAGAAGAAAGAAAAAATTGCGCAAGATGTCATCCGACGGTGGCCACCTTTCCGTCCTTCAAACGTTCTTAAACGTTATCCCATCGAATTATTACATAATGACTCGATTTTTCTACAAGTTTTTTTCTATTGTTGCCCGATTGTTTTTACATTCGTAGATTCCGTTTCCATCGTTTTTCTTTTCTTGATCCCCCTCTAGAAATTCTTCCAGATTTCATGTAATCCTCGCGCGTTACCTGCACACCAGCTGTGTTTTCTCAAGGGATTTCGAATTTTCGGACTTCCCTTCAGTTACCCTTGCTCGCTTCGTTACCACCAGCCTCGGTTCTTTTTACCTCGTTCGTTGCTCGAGCCGGTTCTGGGTCCTCGAATCCTCGAGCAGTGGCTTTTGATCGAGTTTGACGCTAGATCGTGATACTGTCTGCACGCGCGGAGATCCTGATCCTGCGGCGGAATATCCTGGAGCACGCGGTGTCGGTTTCGTTCGTGGCGATCGCGTTCCAAGGGAACGGAACACGGAGCCAAGATCCATTAACCTTTCGTCCCTTTTCTGCTTCCTTTTATTTTATTCTCTTTCGTGGCCGCATTGCGTTTCGTTGTTTTCACTCGTCGAAATCATTTATGCGAAAATTATTGGACAAACTAATGCACGTTAAAAAGGATATTTAATCGTGACGTGTGGTTAGGGAAGGGAGAAAAAATAAATCAATCGAAAAAGTTGAAAGTCCTGTACGTTTTTCCCATGGGTCAGGTAGAAACGAAGGTAGGTATCGAAGGATCCCGGGGTTCCTCTCTTAAATCCAGGATCTTGTCTTTCTATTTGAATAAGATTCACCCTGTTTATCATTTTCTACGATTTCACCCCTCTGTCTCACCCTTTCGTGCGCGCAGCGAAACGGGTACGCGCGCATAATACGTAAAAATCCTTTCCCAAGGGGTGAAATGAAACCCCCTAGTATTTTTTCTTTTTCACCCTTTTGCCCGTCAGTTTCTAACGTCAAATTAGAATTTCGTACGGACCGGCTGGATAAAAATTCGATTTTCACCTGGGCTTCTCTTTTTACCCTTTCTTCCCCTCCTTCAACCCCCGTCCTCGACATGGTTCGCGAGCGTTTAAACCCTATAATAATTTCCCGTTTGATTGACGTTCCGTTTTCAAAATGTAAATTCGTGTGTTTTATATTAAAGAAGCGATAATCCAACGACGAAAGATTTCGTCCCGTTTCCCACCTTTTTATGACTAAAAAATGTCGTTCCCTTTACGGAGTGCGATCAACAGATTCTCGAGATTCATCAATTTCATCAAGACGAGAAAAAAAAGTCGCTGGAATACGTGGAAAGGGAGAGCGAAGAATTCAGGTGAAAATGTGAAAAGGAAAAGGGTCGGTTTCTCTTAAGAGCAACGATACCCTCGGACTCGTCGAATGACAAATGGATTTCTGGACTCGATTATATCCGCTAAAAATCTGCGGCCTACTGTGCTGCGTAGCGAGAGATTTGATGGATGGAGAGGCGCGATCATGTGTGGAAAATTCGCGCCGCGAATCACCGATGGATCGAACTTTTCACCTACCGAGCCTCGAAACCGTGAAAACGATCTACGGAATCGAAGTCGACAGTCCTTCTACCCCTTTTTTTTTACCCTCTCTTCCCTCTCTGTCTCTTATTCCGTCTGACTGACTTACATACATACGTCTCTGTCCTCGGTTGGATTATTTATTTTCGGCGTGTCAAAACGAGTGACTGATGATGGCACGATGCTAATTCCACCATGTGGGAACCGATCGTTACCAGATCTCATCGTCGCGAAATGGCAAAAAACCTGGTATCGTACGATTCGAGTCGCGGAATCGGTTGAAAAACAACGCGAGCTCACCTTCTAAGAATATCATTGACGTACTTTGCCGGCTGGGCCGTCGATGCTTCGATCAATTAATTAGTACCAAAAGTTACAAGTGACTCGTGACAGGGCAAAAATCTGATACAAAATCCTATGGATATTTTTCCGTTCTCATTCATCATACCCTTTATACTTTCTAATTATATTTTAAGACTGAGAAGAAAGAAGATGGTAGGATCTAAATTACAAACACAAAGGCGTCGATTTAAAAACTTACCAAATCTGATGAATTGGCCGAGATGGGGTGCCATTAGTCGGTGTTGGAAGGAAACACCGATCAGCGTGTCCGATCCCGTCAAAGCATCCATCAGCTCGCCTCTGAAACGATAAAGAAAGAACGGTCAGTTTCTTGGTGAGCTGTAAAATGCACGTTATTCTCGTAAAGTGGCGTGTATCGACAAGAAATAGGGGAAAAAAGGATACCGGTTCCATCTTGTTTACCGAACGGAAGATGCTCATCGAAGAAACCTGAAAATCAAATATTGATTCTCAGCTGTGCGCGTGTAGAGCGTCACGCGATGCCGGTCCGCCTTTTATTAAGTGATTACTCTCATTAGCTTGCACGCGATGCGCTTTGTAGCGGTCGTTACAAGCCGATGAGACACAAAATGGCGCAGCCGGTTGCTCCTCCTTCTTTCCACGAGTCCCGATCTCGTTTGTCTCGTCAGTGTCTCGGTGAAAATTCGTCCAACTGGACATCGCGGGTCGAAAATTAACCATCCTCTTGTTCGATGATCGCTGACAGTGAGAAACAACCGCGATCGCGCTAGCTATCCTTTGATATACGATCGACGTTACATTCTCGTGAAAAGTAATTCCCTAACCCCTTACGACCTATGCAAAATTGATCTTCCAAATGGTAGAACAGACGCCGTTGCGACTACGGTATCCCTTGTCACCCTATGTGCACTCAGCCGGAGACCTATGGGCATCATTAATATTCGAACCGAGTGGCTGCGTTTGATGATGCGCCTTGCATAGATTCTCCTTATTATTCCATCAAGTATGGAACGAACACATTTCAGTGCTATCCTTTCGAAACATTTCCATACAAAAAATTAATGTTTCGACCAAACGGTCGAACCGTTCCATCCGCAAGGGGTTAAGATCGATCGTACGACGACGAATTAGCTGGTTCGACGAGTCAAGTCTTTTGACTATAAATAAGTCGTACGAGCGGGTCTTTGATCGAACCGAAGGGAGAGCCAGAATTACGTAAGGACTATTAGCAGTATCGATCGCGATGGAAACGATCACGATGTCGAGTGTCCATCACGACGACCACGACCAAGTGCAGGAGCAAAGAAATCGTCCAAAAGAGGGGAAAACGAGGTGTATCGAGAGAGAGTTCATCGATCGACCCGAGAACTGATTAGCCCCGGATGGTTTGCGGGGAGCGCGAGCAAAAGCGGTCGCCTTTTTTGCCTCGCGATTTTCACCTTTGCTCATTTTGCTTCTCCCTTTCTTTCTCTCTTTCACGCATAGAGAACCCCCAAACTCCTTTCCTCACCCTTTCCTCGCTCTTTCCATCCTCCCCATCGATGCTCTGTGTTCCACGACGCACGCTCTTGTCCATTTGCTCGTCATGGTTTGAATTCTTACCGTCCGTCCGACCGGACGACGAACCAGCCATTTGGAATTCGATCAGAAATACTTAAGGTGGCGTCTGCTCTCCTCTGCCTCTCTTTCACTCTCATTTTCTCTCTCCTTGTCTCTCTCGCGGCCGTAAGTCACCAATCAGCCCCCACCAAAGCAACCACGGCTTGGTCGTTGTTCGACGCCGCGCCACGCCACGCCGGGACGCGGTTTTCGCCTCCTCTCTATCGCGGCTCCGCTCACCGATTCCAAAGGCTTCCGAAAGAATTTAAATGAAGCCAGGACCAGCATATCGAGCTGGCTAAAATTAATTGATTTATGGAGCGCGCCGCGACTTTATGCCGATGCCTAGTCCAGCCAACGGAGGACCTCTTCGATGGTTCCGGATGACGACCAATTACCGGACCAGCAGTTTCGACCGGCAAGAAAAATTCGGAACGCATCCTCTTGCTTGCGAGCCATCCTACGGACGTGTCTTTTGGAAGGGCGCGATCGACGAGATCGAACGGAGAATTCCTCTTCTTATCGTCGCTTTGTTTTGCGTACCTTCTTTCATGGGAAATTCTTTCACCATATGCAAATTATTAACCCCCTCTTTTTTCATTTTATAGAAAAATTTTGCAGAGACGTCGTACAGTTGAAATTTGTAAACATTAGGGTATTCCAAAGTAAAGTGGTTAATGGTGAAAGAACATAGGTTTTCGATTAATAGAAATAGAGAGGCGATTCGGCGGACGGGGTCGAATACTTTTCGATGAACCATGCCGAATACTGATTGTTTCTCGTCAAAAAGAGCCCGTGAACTTTCAATGAAAGGTGGAAGCTCATCAATAAGTTATGCACGCGTGCACATTGCCCTTTGAAGTGCCGCTCTTCGGGCTTTTAACCTCGCTCAATACAATTCGATGAGTTGAACGATCGAGGAAACTACGATTCGACGGCCAGACATATCCGATAAGGTAGCTCTTGAACGTTTTAGTGACAATACGTGATGCTAGTTATAATGGTTAGACTCGAGATGAATAAATAACCGCATATTTGAAAAGCGGAAGCAGCGTCCTAGAAACGTGAACGAACTGGACAATTAGTCCTCCTACAGCTCGTTTTCTATCTAATCGAAACTATTAACGAGACTGAAGAATTTCATTGAAGAAAAATAACAGATACACGCGTACAAAGGGAAAAGTTCTTTCATTTAAACTGTTTGTCACCTTATAAAACATTCCGCATTGATAATACATTTAAAATAATTGCATCAAAATGCATCGAGTCGATTTAATGAATGAATTTAAAAAACTGAGAATCCTGCGATTTAAATTACCACTAGTGGCATCTGGTGATAAGAGGTAAAATCAATGAAGAAGACTGCCGGGATTTTTAAAAAAGCAAGCGACTTTTTCGCAACTTTAGTTTTCGAAGAATATTTTACAATCGTTGTTTAACATAAATACGCAGTTTGCAACTTGTTTAAAGTCTCTGAATCGAAATGTTTTAAAATTGCCTGAGTCTCGAAACGCTATAGCCATCTACTGTTACGAGGTCGAAGCTAAGGAAGTTTAATTCTGCTTACTTCCTTCCAATTTTACCATTAGATGGTTATTTCATGATCTATGAAATGCAATTTAAAAAATTTGCCATTTGAATAATTCAAAGGAGGCTCTAGTGCAGTTATTAAAGTTATATCGGGACCGCAAAACGTTGCTTCTTTAAAACTAAAAGGTGCTCTTTGTATCGTTGGTTGCACCGTTCATCGTCAGATGGTGTTTGCTATATGATTTTCAAATAAACATATAAAAATAAGTCTTTTATAATATTTTTAGCTAATCAACTTAAATATTTCACAATAAAATGATTTTTTCTTTGACTGTTGTACAAATTAAATATGTAGACATTAGCAAAAAATGGTAATTTACAAGCATTCCCTAATTAATAATTAATTAATTAATTAATTTTGTACGATAAGAAGACCTATAGATCATCCAGAATCGTACGATAGAAAAATGTATTGCAAAAATAATTGAAATGAATTCGTAAGCGACCATTAATTCCAAAATTCTGAATCAACAGCTGTATGAAGCAAGGCAATCTGTCTAGCAGCAAAGTTGCCAGGTACACAAGTTCTGGGGAGGGAACGGAGCTCAAAGGCACAACTCGATAATTGTTGTTAACGTGATTTCCGCGGTAGTTTGGACATCTTGCGCGTAACTTCGTCAACCAGAATAGAGTGGAGAGCTGGTGCTCGAGCAAACACGATACAGCTGAAACAAAAGATCACGGTACATCCGTCGCGTACCGTTTCTCGACCCCCTGGCTCAACAAGTTTGCGCCGAGCAAAAGGCAGGAATACACACTGACGAGCACACGGTTTCGCGTGTAACTCGCGCCGCTCGAAGGGTGTTGAAGAGTGAAAAAGGAAGAAAGCGTGGGTGAAGCAGCCGGCTGGCGGTCGGGTGAACCTCGGTTTCATGAATGGACATTCATTCAAAAAAAGCCTCTCCACTCTGGCGTACTTTTCATCTACACCGTTGCGCCTCTCGTGGATGATTCCAAGGCTCGCGATACGTAGGAAGGGAACACAGGTGGTGTAACGCGAATGCTATGTACCAAGCTTCTACCACGAATCGATTACACCTCTGTTCGAGGCTGGTCGGGCTAATTCGGCTCGCCTCGACCGTTCAAAATTCTTCGATTTCTTCAAATATCCACGCCACCATGAACATTGTTCGTCCATGACCGATTTATTTCCCTTCGCCCTTCGATTTCTTTAGCTATCATTCTTTCAATGAAAAATTAAAGCGACTAATTTGAATCGATACACCTATTGTGTGACCTACCCCTGGAATAGTACACCCTGTATAAGAAACATTAGCATTGACGTCTGTTGTTCCGCAAGGAAACCGAGCCACCGTTTCACTAGATAACGCCTAGGACAAGTTTGAACTGGAAGGAGTTCTGGTTTTCCTAGTTTAGGTCACGACTAGCTGCAGCATAAGCAACGGACAAACATGGTAATTGCATGCAGCTGCTATCGAGACAGGATGTCAGCAGTTGGCGAGACTACGGAACAACTGATTAGCCGTATTATTCCGTGTATTCTCTAGGAATTATTGTCCTGGCACTTAACATACACCTGTATATCACTGTTGGACTATCAAGATAGAGTAGACGTTGCAGCTCGTAAGTCATGGGGATCCCTCTGGGAGTTCCACGCCAACTGAATACGATAAGGGCTTGCTATAAAGTCTCTTGTTTTCGTCGAGAGGGAAAAGATGCCGGCGAAATTTTCTTTTTTATTGTTGGACATGATCCAACCTATACCTACCGAAATCTATGGTGATTGGATGGAAAGATTGAAAACACGAAAACTTTCAACTGCAACGGTTTCTATAACGGAACGAAGTTTTTTTGTACACGTGAAGAAATCATTGATTCGATCCACAGAGTGTATTCTCGACGGTAAGAAATCTCATAAACACGACGAAAAGTGGATTAAAAGGTAAAGTTTGCAAGTACTTCGAACTTGGAACTTGGAAATACCGACGTAATATTGGGCAGAGAAGAATCGTAACAACTTACATTTCCATTAGAAGGGAAGAAAGTGCAGAATTTTTATTCAAAGGGCTCGTAACTCTTCACCGTAAAACGTAGTCGTCGCGTCGTAAATCGTCTGAGAATTCCATTCTCTGCAAAATCAATTTGCAAAAAGACAAACTTTGGAGACGAGAAACTGCCTGTTTCCTCGTCTCGGCAATGATTCGAAATTAATCGATGGAAAAGGAAACAGTACGCGTCCTTCGAACGGCGACGTAGTTCAGAAGCGGTCCGTCTCGAGAACTAATTATGATAAGGAGCAATAGGGTTGTTAGGCGAGCATTATCGCGAAGGAACTCCGCCAAGAAGTCCAACGACTTAATCATCGGAAGAACTTTGTGCAAAGAGCTGTCGAGAAGGGAGAAAAAGGGAAAAAGAAAAAGGAGTCCTATAAGTCGTTCTGACATTGGGAACAATAGAGGAAAGGTTTCGCCTGATCCATTGGGGAACCAAAACAGCACGAGCTTCTCTTTTCTACTCGGCCCGACTGTGCCGAAACTCGGCTAGAAAAGACTGCCCCACCAAGAAAATCCCAAGGGAATCCAATCAGAGCGAGGAGGAGCTTGAAGCGCCTAACCCTCGTCGACCTCTCGAGTACAAATCTCGAGCACCTCTCCACTGGCTCGACGAATGGCCAGAACAAGATTTACAGCGTCTCCTAGAGGAATCCGTTTCTATTCAGAAGGCAACTGTCAAACTGTAATCAACAAATTTTTATCGTCTTTCTATCGATCAACAAAGAGATTGTACTTGGCCAGTGTTGGCTTCCCTTCCGAAATGTTCGCCACGTGACACGAATAAGCGTCGAGTTGCAAGATTCGATCAAACATAAAAGCAATTGGAAGAAATCTTCGACTGATAAGTTCGAAAATTTCCCTATTAAATTTCGTAAAATTTCATGAGTAATGTATGAGATCGATCGATTACAACTTCTTCCATCTCTGAATTACTCGACAAATGTTCTACCTCTAAAACCAGGTTTACATTAGTAGAGTAAATGGTTGAGTATACTATCCCATTTCTGCTAGCTTTAGTACTTTACCATCCACTTGTCCAATCGTTTAAACGGGTATAAAGTAGCTGATCCCTCTATGTGTAAGTTGAACTTCCTGAATATTTTAATTTGTCAAATGATTAAAAAATGTGGTCGAATAATAAGAGGTAAATACCTGTTTCGAGTGAAGCGTAAATTGCAGTAGTAGCACGAGTCGATATTATAAAGCAAGGTGTTAATTGGTGCTAAACAAACGAATCTAGGATACACGTCCTCTGATCACTCGTCACCGTGCGTTTACATGCTGTGATTGTCATACGAACAGTGTCGTGTATATTTGACCTGTCTTAGTCAATGTACAAACACACCAAGGATTCCGTCGAACGACCACAAGGATGCTGGAGGTCGTTGATCCCATAGTTTCGTTCGATTTTCTGATCGATCTGGCTGGGTCTCGAGGCGCCTGGTTCTACCATCGAACATCGTTGATCCATATTTCTAGATTGTATTTCGGCGAGCGACATTTGCCCCCGTATCGACACCGATCGATTGGAATTCCATCGAAAAGGCTGCTGCCCCCGGACGAGAATGGCTGGATCGAGTCAACGTCGAAGAACCAGGAAAAAGATCAATACCCATGTCCCATTTACTGACCCTAACCGTACGAGGCAACCCCATAAAAGCAACCGATCCTTCTCATCGTACGGCGACATACCGCGGGTAAAATGAGAAAAAGAGGGAAAGAGAGAAAGTCACGAGTAGGTACGGTAAACTTGCGTTACCCAAGATCTGTGTACATTACGGATTTGCGTTATAGGATGGAGGATGCTACGTTAGCTCGTCGTCGTGCGATTCAATCGCGTACCATAACGTACGAAAACATTATCATGCGCCGAGTTGTCGCAGCGATGTCGTGAGAACGTCTCTTATTGTCGTGCAACCCTCGTCTCGTATCGTGAAAACGGTTTTCACCAGCCAACTTACTGGCAAATGATCACACGAAACGTTGTTTTACTGTCCTACTTACATATACGTATACGCAAGTAGGTAGAAAGTCGTAAACGGAGGCGGAACGAAGAAACGCGAGTACACGTATCAAAAGTTATCGATGCTATTAATTCTTGGCAAATCCAACATAAATCTGTTATCTTATACTTGAGCCGAGTCGAGGAAGCAATATAAATTCAGCACGCGCGATGACGCAGGTGGTGGAGGAAAAAACGATCCTTTTAGCATTTTCAAACGTTTGCATTACGGCACCTCTGCTGTTAGCAATATTCTTGTGTCGTAAATATCCGAGTTTTGACAACGAGATATTTCCTCGCGTCTAATAATTCATCGATACCGTTGGAACAACAATTTAGCGGAAAGACGAACGAATTTTACCGATACTCGTGTCTATACGTACACGGGACGATCTTGCGTAATTTTGAAAAAATCAAATGTAGCACTTTAGAGGTTGCGGTATCGCCGTAAAAATTTCGACGGTCAACGAGTAAAGATCCTTAGCCCAAAGCCGGTGATACACGCGGACTAAATCACCAAGATGCATGGCTTTGCAAACTGTGCAAAGGGGATCAAGAATCCAGCGCTGACTCGTGTTTGATCATCCGCGATAGCACAGAATCCGCTAGACGAGCTGGTATTTACGAATATATCGGATGATGAACGAAGACAATTATTCCAGACAGCCGGAACATCAAACAACATCAGGCTAAAGCATCGGCAATACGAAATCCTTAGCATAAGGTCCAATCATTTTCAACGAACCTAACCAAATGAAACGGTGTACGGTAATCAATGTCTGTCAGAGGTTGTTTGCTGTACCAGAGAAGCAAAGTTCCGTTAAAGTGAAACTTCCTATCGATAGAATAGAAAATAGTATAGATAGGATATTTTCTTTCATTCGAAGGAGGGTGTCAAAAATTGTTGAAGGGGTAGAAGGATGTCGGTCGTTTCGACGCTGAAGCGTCTCTCTTCGTGACTGGTGCGCGACCCCGAAGAGAGTGGTATCGAATCGAGGATCTTCGCAGATTTTCGGGGAGCTTCGTTCGCCCACGGTTCGCCCGGGCAGCCGTGCCGGCTCAGTACACTGCGTGGCAGCCTGGACCGCAGGCGCCTCCGGTCGAGGACACGTAGTCGCGGTTGCGTGCTGGCCTACGGTTCGTCTGCTTTCAACGACGAGCTGTTCAACCTGCTTTTTGGGACACACGTTTCCCTCGGCTGATACCACTGAACTTTGCATCCTTTAATTGGTAGAATTTCATCGAGAGGAACAGATAATGAAGCGTAGAAGAATAAACGAGGTTATCGAGCAACTTGGTATTTAAACTTGGTATCACCTGCGACGAGGTAATAGCAGTTGATCGGTAAATGAGCTGATCTAATCGAATGGAAGCACGACGCGGCGCGGCGGTACTCGATGCGAAAAGATCGTGATTGATCGACGAGACGAGCTGTTCGAGATGACAAGGATGAAATTGATCGTCACTGGGGAGGATCGATCGACGTTGATATTCATGGGAACGATGGGTACTCGTTGCTCGAGCTGGTCGAACTGCTGAGCTTTTACCAAGCTGTCTGAGCATTGTCTCTGCTCTGTACCATTTGCACGCGGATGTTTATGCTGGTGTCTCTGATTCGTGGTGCACCGACTGCGCGTCTACGTGTGTGCCGTGTACACGGAAGATGTACGACACAGCATAGACCGTTACCGTGATACGTTTGTCCCGCGCGATTCTTTCCTGTTTGCCAGCAAACTTGGTATACACGGTGTTTTGTGCACGAAAGAGTAGAAAACCGTGAGACAGACCGACTGAAAAAGCGGAGACGGTGGAAAATAGAGTGAGTTCGGGGTGAGGAAACGGTAGAAGAAGAGAGAAAGAGGGAGCCTGGAGAGAGTAATGATCGTGACGACGGTCGCGCGGACAAATGAACACCTCGGCACAGCGTTTGGGATATTCCAAGTGAGTAGCGTGCCAACCGATCTTATACCTACATTTTGCCGAGGAAAGATTTTATCGCGAAATTATCTCTGATTTTCGTCGTTCGAGAATCGAGCTTCTTTGAAATCGAATGCTTTTTTAGTAGAACTAATTTTAACCCTGCGTAAAAGTTAATCGAAAGACTGAGATAAAAGTAGATCCTTCCTCGTAGATTCTTACCGAGTCGATTTCATTTGCGGAAACAGTTTGGTAAGCGAAAGAAATCCTTCGAACTGAAAATTGAGATGAGACCCATTTACTAAACTGGTTCAACGAATCCCCTTGGGAAATTCGATGAATTTTCCGACTACCCCTGCTCTCATCGTCGTGTCGCTTCTTCGCAATTTTCTGCATCCCCCTTCCCTTAACCCTTCGACCCCCCCTCTCCTAGCCCTACCCACTTTACGTCTCTCACTCATATGAATGCACGATAAGAAATCGTTCGAGCATGTACATTCCCTTGGCTACCGCGTTTGGCGCGAAATCCAACGTGCGGTTGGCACTGGACCGACCAATAACGTGCATCCTCGAGCGAGCTGGTTCGTGCTTAACAAGGATTTCTTGCTGAAACTTTCCGGAAAAATCTCTTTGCATTCTCGACTAACTTGGCCGCGTTTAAACGTACCGCAACTCCACAACAGTTGACCTTCCTTCTGCTCCCTCTTATCGTAACCTCTAAATAACTCGGAAACCACCGAATCAATGGCGGTCGTATTTCGGCCGAACAATCACTCGGTTCGTTTCACATATTTTTTCGAGGGAAAACATTCGAGGGAGTCTATCGGAAAAATCTCTATCCTTCCGGCTCGAAGGAAATCCAAGGGTGAGACAATCTCGATGGGAGCTTCGAGATAACGGAATCCACCGGTCTTATCGGTACGAACGGCAAACTTCCGGGAAAATAGGAATAGAAAAGCTGCTCGACAAAAAAAAAAAAAAAAAAAGGTAGAAAAACGTATACAGCTTAGACAAGGATATATCGGAGTAATCCTGAGATTTGATCAAAAACCTAAGAACCTGTCGGGCTAGACATTTTCCAGCTTCAGACTCGTTTTATGAACAAAAATTTTCCACCTTCCACCCTCGACAACATTACCATTTATACGAGCCAGTTGAACGGTGAGATACTTCGTAAACGTAGACATAGAAATCCATGGAAAAGATTCGATACGAAACGGAGGTAAATGTGGCGTCGCGTCGTGTCGCGTCGCGTCGCGAGCAAAAGACAGGAAAAAGTTAGCGAAGCGACAGAAGTAGGTTCGAGATGGTAGGACGGAAAGGAGGTATAGCCAGCTCGGCTTTTTATCATCGTTCTAAAGTGCAGGTTTCAGTAAGACGAATCGCGAGTCGAGGGAGGAAAAACTCACCGATTCCTGTATTTCTTTCGATCTCGAGACAGCTAGAGATATTGGAGAAGCTGGTCGTTGATCGTTCGGACTTATTTCTCGCGAAACGAGCAACTTTTCCTCTGCTTCTCTCCCGAGACAAATCTTTCGATCATAGCGAGAGCTTTCGTCTACCAAAGCCATCTCGGTTTTGCATTAGCATTTAAATGGCGAACGAAGGAGGAGGAGGAGGAGGCCAAGTTACTCGCGCTACCTAGGACGCGGATTTTACGCGAGTACGTACGTGTTGGCGAGATTCTAGCAAGGAACTCGGCTAAGTGGAGAACGTGGGAAAAGATAGAGGTCGCAAACTTGCCTTTACGACGTTTTTAGAGGCGCTCGTAACGAGCTGCGGTTACAATATCCAGTTACCGAACCGTTGTCTCGTATTAGCATTTACACCGAGTTAATTGGCCTTATCGTACCCCCTGGTGCCATGATAAAAACCATATGGTGCATCGAGTATCCATTTAGGTAGGAGCACGGTGATACAGGGTCGGCAGGCAAGCAGGTAATTCGCAGATTTGGATTACAAACGAGAGAGAGAGAGAGAGAGAAGGGTGGAACATTGTAGACCACCTTGTCGGAGGATCGTAATTTTTCTTCATTGTTCGCTGCTGGTCGACGTCATTCTTTCTGACTCGACTTACCGAGTGAAAATCGAGTGTTTTAAGAAGGCCAGGATTTCATTTGAAAATGAAGATACTTCGTACGTAGATCGCGTGTAATAAACTTGGATCTTTGCAACGAATGAAAAAAAATTAATTATTAAGTTTGGAGGTTCGCGACAGGCTTGATTCCATCGCTAGGAAAAAGGTGGGAGGAGGTCACAAATGGTAGCAGAGAGTATCAGGTGGGAAACAATGGATAAGGTAGAAAGGAAAGCCGAGGGTTTTGGAGGGAGGCAGGGTGGCAGGCAGGCTAGAAAGGGGGATGAGGTTGGGGTGTAACTGCTCTTATTTCTTCTCGCAGCCGGCGTGGCCCAGGCTGGAAACAAAAGGCGATCCGACATCAAACATTCAAATTAGAAAACTCCCCCGCCGGTCCGTTCGCGGGCTGGATTACCTACTCTCCCCCTTCAGCCACCTCAGCTCCTCCGCTTCAGTTCCCTAAAGCATCTAGGAACCCTCTGCGTTTCCACAGGCCCCGTCGCTCACCGTTAGACCTTCGCATCCTACTTTTCGCGAAGCCACACACGATTCCAGCGGTTGCATCGCTTCTCTCAGTCCCGTTTAAGCTGCAGCCTACTTTCGCGAAAGCCGCCCTACGATTTTCAAGGCTCGTAAATCGCCGCGTACACGTACAGCTTTTGTTTCCGCTAACGCCTGCGCAACCTACCCCTATGCGAACCAGCACATATTTGTTCGTGGTCAGAGCCAAGAGGATCGTGTGTGTAGCCTCGTGGCTGCGGTGTTAAAACAAGGAACCCGAAGCGCGATCAAACAGAAGGCCATGGTATTAGCGGCCACTTCTCGTTCAGATTCGAATCACGAGAAAAGACTTTGAAGATGCTCTTCAAATTACAAGCCAGACGTTCTTTAATTCCTCGGCAAGTACCGTAACAGCAGAATAATAAATGGGTTACTGAGATCCCGATAAGAAAAAAAAAAACGATGATCGTCGAGAGAGGTAGTGAAACATTCATAAGAAGCTTATCAACGCGTAAAAAGTAACATTACTCTTCGAGACAGTGGTGGAAACGAGTGCTGAAACGAAGCCCTGACTCATAACTCAGTTTCGCGGTTTTGCTTGGAAACTTTTGTACCCTGAAACGCGTGCACGATGCACCGCGAAATTTCGAAACTTCTTCCAAGTAGAATCGTAGCAAGTATTTGCGAATTTGCGAACTTATCCGGCTGGAGTTTCATTATAGGAAACGGTAGAGGTTGTTTCTGCTTTTCTACGGTAAAGAGAAGAAGCTGAGGGAAGCTTGAAAATTTCCTGATACTTTCGCGACTTCTACGTCATTCCCATATGTGAAATAAATCTACGTTCCTACACGGACAAGTCCTTCCGCAAAAGTTTCCCCGTTTTCAGCGGAAAGAACCTTTCCCGGCTAACCTTTCCACGTTTCTCTTCAGAGGCCTACCAAGCAGAAACGTATCCACCGGTCCGAAGGCATATTTCATACGGTGATAATCATAAATCGCGTACTCTACCAGTTTCCTTTCCATTTGCGTGAAACTAGCATCTTGGAATATTTTCCTTCTAATTCTGACACTTTCTCAATTTTATTTCATCTACCAGCTGTTTCCTACAAGAGTTTATCGCGTTTGTAGTAACTCTTATTAACGCGTGTCCGAGCACAGATGGTTGTTTTCACTGTGGCCAGCAGCGCGTTAAAGGAGTATCGCGTCTGACCACGCGCGGACTTGTACTACTTGCGGCAGTAGAACAAAACCTTCTCGGTTTACCATTGCGATTTTTATAAACAACGACTACTGCATTATGCTACATAAAGTAGCAATAAATGAAAGACATAATAATTGATCATATTTGTTCAGAAACGACTTGGCATCGGGTGTTTAACGAGAAAAGCATCTCGATCAAACTCTCTTCAGTGTGTCGATTTTGAGTTGAGGCCAAGCCGGTAAGTCAAAGTCAATTTATATCTCGTACGTTTCGTCGGCTTTAAAATTCCTCGGGGGAGAGAAAAAAAAAAAATGTCTTGCCCGCGGTTCGTCGATAAGAGTAAACGTTACTTGTAAGCTGAAATTGACTTTACAGTCTTCGTGTGAGACGTGCCGGTAATTAGTTTCGTCGAGTCTAACGTCCGCTGCGGCGGCGGCGGCGACGGGGATGGAAAAAGGGGTAAAAGGGAGAAAAAAGAGGGAGAGAAGTCAGCTCGATATACGTTTCCATCGAGTTTTAAATGAGATTCAACGCGAAAGAAACGAGAAATCGTAAGTCTCGCGATCGAACGACCGAACAGAACCGTCACGTCAACTTGTCGTGGGAACGAAATTCAAAAATGGAACTCCGGTGTTCGCAATTTTTCTCCAGTTTATCCACGCTGCGATTTCTCATTGTTCGAACGTTCCTTCGAAGCGTTTGCTGTTGCAGAAACAAAGAGTGACGACGTATACAGGGAGATACAAATATCTGTCGTGGCAGTAATTAAAAGGAATCCAAGACACGAATGCACTTGTCGTCGTTCGTGCTCGTTTCGCCAACGTCGCATCATTTCCTTGCCGTTTGTCGAGCCTGCAATTGACCTATCTTTCATCCCTACGTTTCTTCCCTCCATTTCCATCCCTTCTTTTTCTTTTCCTCTTTTTTTTTAATGACTCGAACCGAAAGAACTCGTCACAAGTCGTAGACGTTAACGCGAACGAGGGGAAAAAATGAAGCGAGAACGCGTGCATTCCTCTTCCTACTTCCTATTCTTCTTCTTCCTCCTCGCGACGAAATGAAACGAGTCGAAGAATTACTTTCTACTCGGATCCTATCGCTATTTTTCTCTCCCTCCCTTACTTCTTTTCCTTCGCCTTCGTTCTCCCATTTAAATTATCGCTTTCGAACTTTCGCTATTTTAACTCGCACCGGTGCTAGCCGGTTCCTTATTTTAAATTCGGTATCATTCTCTTTTCGAACTTT